CACCACCAGCCCATTTCTTGCTGAAGATTTCAAAGCTCATAAGGGCCACCTAGAAACAATGACAAGCAGAGGTCCCCTCCCCCCAAAAATGAGGAAATAATATTAAAGTGGTGTAAATTGTTTAGCTGAGGGCAGGGTCTTGGGCAGAGTCTCCTTAAAGCAAAACATGAGAACACAGGGTTGGAATTGATGAATGCTGCACTGTAAGAGAGGAAGAGAAGCCCATCTTCCCATCAGGGCGTGGAAGTGGAGAAGGGCACTCAGACAAGTGCTTGTGAAAGAGATGGTGTTGGATCTAGGCCTTGAAATATGGTAAAAATTTAGATACTCAGAGATTAGAAGCGGGGCGAAGGAAGTAGCAATTCACCAGACATTTAGTCAATGCTCCCAAGTCAACATCGCTTCTTTCCAAGTTCTAACGGTGCAACATAAGGAAACACACCTCTTAAATAAAATTAATAGTGCCCCTCTTGCCTCTGAAACTTACGTTCTTTAGGACCTAGGACCTACTATGACAATAAGGACCTACTAGGACAACAATCCTACTAAGACCAAATAAGCTCACTAATACATTTATAATTTTCACTGCACTGTCACATGAAGCAAGCCACCTACTAGAATAAGTCGAGAAACACTTTCACTTTTTCCCTTATTTCCATATTTATCCAATCAGTTTTAGAAAATGCAATGGACGGCCTACTATACATGTATACTGCAATTGAGCAATCCAGCAAAGTGGGGGGTGGGCAGGTGCTGAGAGCCGGGTTTCTCACATCGAAGTGAGAAGTTACAGATGCGCAGCAAAGGAGGCTAGAATAATCCGTATTGTGATGCATTAGAGTTGGAGACAGCAGCATGACACTTAGCTTAATGGAAGTACAGGTATGTTTGCGTGCACAGGATAGTATACACACATATACCCCCTTGCTCTGTCAGCTGAGAAGACCTAAAAGTAATGGATCCCCAGTAGCAATGCACACATCCAGCACCTAGATGGTGGTTTCTAATGCCATTCTCCAATGAAAGACACCAGCGTTCTTTGGAGAAACGACTCATTCCAAGACAGGAACAGGAAATACACAAAATGAGCCTATAGCTTCTGACAGTGCTAGAGTGGAGAAGGTGCTCAAAAGCATGTGAGCACACCGCAACGATGGGGCTACATCAAAGAGATACAAGAGCCAGCTTAAAGAGCTCTCAGTGCAAAAGCTGGAAAAGTTTGAGTGATAAAGTGGTAATAGACTATCACCCAAAGTATAACATAAATATCCACGAATCTATACTGCTAAGAAGGATTGAATAAACAAATAAATGGCAAAGAAGAGACAAATCTTCTGTGCAGAAGAATTCCAACGTGTTTATTTAGATACTCTGCCCTTACGGAAGTGGAGTTTAACTCTGCTCCTTAAGCGGCACATGATGACTTCCTTCCAAAGAGTACGGTACGGAAAGAGAGGAGAAAAGGGTAACTTCACAGTGCAGAAACCTGACAACCACTAGCTCCAGCCAGACGATCAAGGTTAACATCAACAGTGGTAATAAGTCCTAATGAATAGAATAGACTCTTGATGAGAATGGAACTTTATCTCTGTGGTACTCCTCCCCAAAACACATAACTCTGGCCTACTCATGACAAAAGTATAAGTCATACTCAAACTGGGGACACTGTACAAAATACAAGACACGTAATTCTCAAAACAATCAAGGACATCAAAAACAAAGAGAGTGGAAGAAATCGTCACAGACCAAGGAAGACTGAGGAGGCATGACAACTGATTGTAACACGGTATCCTGCTTAGCTCCTGGGACAACGGCAACAAAGAGTGACAGAGACAAACAGAACATTTGAATAAAGGGAGAACTTTACAACAATAACGTAACAACACTGGTTCCTTAATTGTGACTAAGGAACTGTATTAATGTGGAGTGTTAATTGAAAAGGAAATTGGATATAGGGCATATAAGAACTCTCTGTACCTTGATAATAATTCTGGAAATCTAAAAAGAAAAGATTTCTTTTTAAAATGCACTGGAAATGCTTTCCTCTCAAAAACTCTCTGCAAAATATGCTAACTGCGGAAGTCTCGAAGCAAGTCTTTCTAAAGCACTGGTCCTTCCACCGGTTGGCTAGAGCAAAAGTCAATTGTAGAAGATACCTTCCGTTATGCTCACTTGTCCGACTTCCTAGGGGCCATGTGGCGCCCCCAGTACACCTAATGAAGTTCCCTTTAAATCAAGAGACAAGACATGGAAGGGAAAGAAATGTAGAAATGACAATTTCTGCTTCCAAGCTCACTGCTCTATTCCAGAGAATCTTAACACTTTCCTAGACTGAATATTGATCCTTCGACATTCAACACAGACGTCCTATCATGAACTGCCTTCAAATAACACATAAAGGAAAAAAGCGGGGCAAAAGTTGTCTTCTCCAATCCACTTCAGCTTTGTTAGTTACCTGTCTCACTTATTTTATCAACAGTGACAAACAATGTGAAGCTGCCCTGTGTCAGACGGACCTTCTGATCACTGAATTGCTGAGCTGTTTACTAACTTTAAAGGAGGTGTTTGGCCAGGCGCAGTGGCTCACGTCTGTAATCTCAGAACTTTGGGAGGCCAAAGTGGGTGGATCACCTGAGGTCAGGAGTTCGAGACCAGCCTGGCCAACATGGTGAAACTCTGTCCCTACTAAAAATAATTAGCCGAGTGTGGTGGCAGGTGCCTGTAATCCCAGCTACTCCAGAGGCTGAGGCATGAGAAGTGTTGAAACCTGGGAGGCGCAGGTTGCAGTGAGCTGAGATCATGCCACTGTACTCCAGCCTGGGTGACAGAGCAAGATCTGTCTCAAAAAAAAAAAAAAAATCTATCTGTGTAATAATCATGTATACCTCATAGTGTGTGTAACAGAAAAAAAAAATGCTCAAACAAATTAACTTAAAAAAAAAAGGTGTCTTTCAGGGGAAAAAAACTTTTCCCACTATATGGTATATTGTATAGTAAAGAATGCCAGGCACTGGCTTGAGGCATAGATACAAGGTTACAAAATAATTTCCCAAGATAAGTTCTTAAAAGGGAGTCACATGGATATCAAAAAATATCCTTCTGCATGATATCTCCTTTTGTTTCATTGCCATTTTTGGACTATAAGAATATAGGAACCTTTGGTCTAATCCAATATCTATCTATCCATCCATCCATCCATTCATAAATCCATCCATCCATCCGCCCATCCACACATGCATATCTGCAAGTTACCATTTATTTATCAGGCCTCTGATGACTCAGCTGGTGGCAGATATCTATACAAGTGATGGAGAACCAGAGGCTCTTAGTGCGAAGGTGAGAGTGGAAATGAGATTGAGGGATGACAGTGGTCTGTGGACACAAGGAGGGTAAGACAACAGAAATGCAAAATTGAAAATACTAGTAATCAATTGTGGTTGTCAATAACGGAGAGCAAGCGTGAGTTCAAATATTAAAGCATAACAACGAACAAACAAAAATCACTGCCATTATGCAAAGTGAGGAGGATTAAAGTAAAATAAACTCAAGGTAATAGAAAATAAAAATAATGCATGGAATTTTACAATAAAGGAAGAGAAACAAAGGAGACATGAAGGAAAGTGACCTGGGAGGAATTTATCTGACGGAATTTGGGGGCTGAAGTTACGCAGCCTCTTCAGCCTCTCTTGAATACAGGTGCCTTGATTTTTCCTGAAATTCCTATATGGAGCAACGTGCTGTGCAAATATATTAATCACACCTACGATTAGCCATTTGCTTGACAAGAAAGGGCTGCGGCCACTGAGCCTGAAGACGGGAGGTGTCCCTAAACCCAAGAACTCCCACAGTAGGGATAAGATTTTACAGTCAAATGAATTATTAAGGTCAGGTGAATAACTTCTTTTTCTCTCAGTGGTTCTCGATTTCATGGTCACTACCAGGGAAGGAGGCAAATATTGAGTACTCTGCTTGACTCTTCTCTAACGAGGGGGAGAAAACCCACCACTCTATATACTAAAAGTAACTGAAACCACACCATTTCCTTTGGAAAGATAACATGTTTATGAACTGTGACCATTCTCTCCAAGGAATCAGAATCCTGCCTTCCCCCTTCTTCCTAAGTCCTCACGTTTCCTCTGTTCACTAGATCATTCTGAAAGGAACATACAATTACCTTTCCTCGACCACAGCTGCTTTTGGTCCTAAAGTAAAACTCACAATATACTCCCAGTATTCTTGATCTTCCTAACTTCATGCCTGAAGAAGGAAATGTCTGTATGGAGGCAGTTTAGAATATAGAGGAACTTACACAACAAAATACGACTTGTTCTCCAAAGCAGTCACCTTGGGGTCTCCAGACACGTATCCAAAGACACAGTCACTATTCACAACAATCTTTGGACGTCTGCTTTGGATATTGCTTTTATGAGAAAATCAGGCTCAACTTTATGGCTGAAAATACTATTTCCTAGCTTCATCATTAATGGGACAGCAAATCCCTTTGGTTTGAAAAGTCCATTCTCTACGGGCAAAGATTTGCCACAGTGAAGAGACTCAAATGATGTATGATAGCTGAAGACAATTAAATCTGGAGGATTCCGAACTTGTGCAAGGGACTCACTGGAATGTGTGAGCGCCCTCCTGGTGTTTACTGGGGAGAGAATCCCAGCCACTTAGGGAAAAAGCTGAGATATGAGTGCTAATGAAAAAGAAACCCCAGACCTGATCACATCACTTTATACTTTCATATAGAAAATGTAGTTATATGCATATCTAACTCTCACTCTGTTTTAAATTCAGCTACCTAAAAATGTGATTTTCCCCCCAACATTCATGGAAAAAGAATTTTGATCCGAAATTTTCACTTTGTTATTTTAACTTGAAAGCTCTAATAACATTATGTAATAACAATGTTATAAAATTCTATTAATTGAAGAGAGAAATAAACTGACCTCACCTAAAAATTTTCTCTCAAGTACCAAAAAAATCCACTTAAGACATATAACCAAATGTTATTTAATATCTTAAAAAGTAACACAATCCAAAATGGATATTTCACACAACACTACATAAACAACATGAACACAATATCACCATATGGAGGGACTTTCAAATATAGACTTACAAAAATCCCTGTCCTTTTTTTCTTTTAAGTTATTATACTAAGCATGACAAGTAATCATCATTTACAGTATGGTACACTGACACGATAAAAACCATGTTACAAATGTGCTGTTATAAATCAGTAACATTAGGGAAGACATTTCATGAACTGTAATTATTTCATATGAAATACTATACAATATAAACAGAACATCCATCTTGGATGACCTTTACAGCAACCAGAGACCAAGTAATTTAAATTTTTTTTTTTCAGTGCAAACACATTTTATTCAAGGCAGTCTTGGCTGCAAAACTCCTTTCTAACATACAGTAAATCCCACTTGAACTTTCTTAATTCATTTACCCTAATGCAATAGTCACATTCAGCCACTCAGAGAAAGATACCTGCAGAATTATGATTCCTTTAAACTTGACGTTTAAATTTAATTCTCTTCTAGAACATAGTATCTGTGTCAACTGCTCTAAGGACTTGAATTTGTAGCTGTTGATACTTCCATGAAGGTGACCCTAGGGCAGCTCTATTCCTAACCCAGCAAGTGTGCACGATACTGCACAGTGTTCTACCCTTCCAATGTGGAAACCATGGCGGCATGTCAGTATCTAGGTGGGAGACCGGAAAGGAGTACCTCGGAGGAACGAAGCGGAGGAGCTGCTGCGTGTGTACTTCATGATTAATTTCCCGGAACCGCAGAGGACAGATATTGGAGATCTCAAGTCTCACATTTGGTACCTCTTCTTGGTGGGAACAAGGGAACTGTTTTACTAAGGTCAGCCTTGGAACAAGGAGGCAGGCAACTGTACAGGGACCAGCCAAGCTTCTAACCTTACATTTCCAACTTTCCAGAATCATTGTTGCCTGACTTGAAACACCCCATTCCCTCCTTGGCATGGTGTGTGCGTGTGTGTGTGTGTGTGTGTGTGTGTGTGTCTGTTCACATTTGAGGCCAACAATTAACAAGCCCTGTAACTGACCATGTACAATCATCAGAAGCAAGTTTAGTTCCCCCTTGAGTCTGGTAGAATTCTGAATCTTGTGGATCATCTACTGTAAGTCATAGAACAGCTGTAAAAACACAGGGTTGTGTGTTAGGGGAGCCATCACTGGGAATCTCTCTGTGGGCCGCTGCTGCAAAAGATGCAGAGTATTAACTCAATCGGAAGGTGCCAATGTCTGTCTGAAAAACAAGGACATTTAATAATGAATGTTTTCATAAACGTAATTTATGAAACATCTCCTGAATAAAAATCTGTGGGAAACTATTGGATGTAGCCTTAATACCATAGACCTTCTGGGAGAGGAATGGGGTGACAGCTGATTCTTTTATCTTACTTGGCAAAGCTCAGACGGACAGTAATCTCTTTCCTGCCCACATTTTACTAACCCAAAGCAAAACAATGTCTTCCATGGCTTTTGCCTTCGTGTTTCCTGTGTTCTAGTTCCCCCAAGCCCTAAACATGACGCAGAAAAGTCACTCACCACCAGAAGAGCCCTGGGTGACATTGACAATGGGCAGGATGGTCCTGAGGGTGAGGGGGAAAGGAGAGGTCGCTCCTGCTTGGGGCCACCGAGGTTGATAGCACACAGCTAGTGGGTTCTGTGACTGGCCTGTGGTGATGGAGCCGATCCCCGTCAAATATCGTCTACCTCCTAATTCAAGAAAATACTTAGAACTAAATCAGCTCCCTCAGAAGTCCAGCTCCTCCAAAGCAGGACTCGATATATTGTACTGAATTTCTAGGGTGCTAAGGAGCACTGTGATGAGTACTTGATAAAGTTTTTAATTAAAATTTCTGTGTCAGCACCTTCCACTGCCAGGAGCAGTCATGTTCCTGAAAGATGGTATTTTAGCACGGGAACGATAGAAACCCAATATGAAACTGTAAACAAGGCTGGATGTCCAGATCTGCTTCTGACTGCGATGGCATTGGGAGGACCTGTCAATCTCCCGCTTCATCCATTGATACCAGTAAGGTGTGCTAAGGTGTAACATTCCAAACACCCTGAACTTTTTTTTTTTTTTTTTAATGAAAATGGACAAAAGTGTCAAGTTGTATTTGTTTTCTTTGACTTTATTAGCACACATCAGAAAAATAGCATTGTATTTAGTGATCTCTCATGATGGTCTATCAAACAGATAGAAAACAGATCATCAATAGCTGCCACTGTGTTTCTGGGTAGTCTTAAGTCACTCCTTTTGTTTGTTCAAGTATGCGTATTACAAAGATGACCTGTCTTGTTAATGGTTTGCGAATCTGAATGCTTTGGAAGCATTCTGAGATCCCAAAGTGAATCGTGCAAAGTCATTATCGATTGTTGTTGGTTTTTAGATCAAGCTCCAAATACTGCCCATGTTATAAATGGTGAGACTTTCAAAAAACGATCACTATCATATTGTGAGCAATATGTTTGTAATTTAAGTTAAAAACTTTATTTTCAAGTACACTTGGTGGTGATAAGTGGTTTGTCCTGGGTAGAATTTTGCAAAGCTGCGCCAACCTAAAAAAGGAACAATGCTTCTGCTTCCACTGAACAGGTTTCTTCTCCCCATGGTGACTGCAATATAATTTAAATTTACATTTTAGAAATGCTGGTTGGGTTATGAAAAAGAGGGACCTGGGAACAGCTGCTGTTCAGATCATTGTTACTCTAGATTAACTCTGAATTGACGCTTCCTGAACTTGACCTTCACAACATCAGAGAAGCAGTAATTTGTAATTTTTATCCAGCTAGTCTCCATTCACCTCTTCTATTGGTTTTCTCTATTTGATGGCATCCCCGCTTTCATATGCTCATTATGGCCCCCTGAGATGTGCAAAATATATATAATGGAATACAAATCATTTAACAGAAGTTGTGGAATTCACAGCACAGCTCTTTTAATTACAGTGGAGTTTGGGCTCCACATGGTAGCATGCGGGTGAAGGCAGAGCCCACAGTGCTTCAAGGTTGGCAGTCCACATTGCTTGTGTGTCTTCTGTTACCGAACACTGAGACTTCAAACCAGATTTCCAAAGAAGTAAATAGCTCGCTCAATTACGTTCACCCATTGGCTCTTCGCCAGAGAACTTTTAACAGGAATGGGTGGGGGGTGGGGGTGGGCACAAGAATTTTTAAACTTCGGTTCATTCCTAACAAAATCGAGTGCGCTTTCGTGGGGAAGAGAGGAGAAGACAGGATTATATCTGAAAGTCAAACAATGGCGTGAGAGAAAGCCATGGCGATGGGGAAGTGTTCAACTCTGCTCTTCGGAATGATACACTTTAACACACGGCTGCCATTTCATCAAATTTATGGAGGTAGTTATATGTAAAAATAAAAATTACCATAAAGTAATATGTCGTATCATAATAATACATAAGTGTGCAAAATGCCGACAGATGTGTTGACCCTTTCACAGAGATTCAACCAGATTCAGTTTTGTAAACCTTTCAGTTGCTAAACCCTAAGACTGGACAAGCAGTCGTGTAACACAAAGCTATGGTTTCACTGGAGGAAAAGCGTTCAGGCAACACCGGGCGAGGACCCCACCGTCCGGACCGAGCACCTCACTGGGACCTCGGGTGACATGTGTAGCGTGACGCCGGCTGCCACTCCTCCCCCATTCAAGAGTCTCGATCAGATTCAGACAAGAATACTTTTATATGCAATGTCTGCTTACATGTTATCATCTTTAAAGTCCATCATTTCTACACAAATGGCTGCTGGTCTAAGGGAGTTTTTAAAAAATCATGTACCCCATAGCATCAGGCAAACAGTGTACATATTTATTTGAATAATGTCTTCTGTAAACCTATATCTCGTGAAATATCAATAAATTCCTATTTTAAAGCTTCTCTTAAAGGTAATGCTTTCCTTTCCTGTTCACATAGCTTTCGATTATTTCAATGGCTACTTTCAGAGGATCAACTGGAGGCTGATGTATTGTTTCAATGGTTCTATTATTTATGAACTAATAGTAGAAGAAAAACTTGAGAGCGAGTTTTTGGAAAAAAAATGAAGTTAGACAAAAATTTAGTAACCGTATGATATATAACTCCCCAAGGGAACAGACTATGTAGTCTATTAGACACACGATCATTCCTTCTGGACATACTTAAGCCAGGAGACAAACAATGCATCAAGGCATGCCTTGGAGGAAATACGGCGTGAGACTGAAAGCCCAGAGGCCTAAGCATGTCAATGACATGGGAGTTTACTACGAAACGTGCTGAAGTTTCACTGCAATAAGCACAAAAAAGGAATTTATACCAAACCCAGGGAGTCCAGTTTGACCCAATGCAACTTCCAAATAACTGAAAAACGATGAGGGAGTATTTAAAGGTTTCAAGAATGAGTCCAACTGTGTATAGGATTGGATTCTTTAAATGGATTGCTAGTGATTAAACCTAATACAAAAATCATGTGTCTCACAAATCATATGCCAATTACTGAAATCAGAGGTGAAAATATTCTGGATTTGGGGATACGGATATATTTTATGGTGTATAGCTCCCAACAGCACATGCCACTAAACAAAATAAAACTTTATGTCAGACACTTCCTTGTGTCATAGTAACCCTTTGGCAAATAATATTCCATTACTACAGATCTGTTCCACTGTTCTCAGAAAATAAAACATGGGAACGCTGGAATGTCTCTTTGCTATAAGATCAAATTATTGGCAATCCCTTTGCTGCTGGGTCGTCTTTGTGTGCAACGTGACATCGTAAACCAAAGCAAAATGTTAACAAATCATTTTGAAATCAGTTGGGCTAATAACTACACATCCACCTAAAATCGCCTCCTGAAATTGGTTACAAAGTATCTGTAAACATTACTCTGGCATAGTTCATGTATGCATAATTGTTTTTCTGATAAATTTTAGGGGAGTACAAATTAGGATTATACCACACTAGCAGAATGAGTACATTCTGTTGTTCATTACATGGGCACATGTAGATTTCTAATCAAAAATTATTTTTAAACTTTTCTCTATAGATATCTTCCCAGGAATAAAAGGCCTGAAGTTCAACTCTCCCTAAATTTGCTCTTTCCTATAACCACTAAAAATTATCTCCCACAGCCTAATTTAGGCATTCTATTTAAAACTACATAAAATAGATTTATGTCCTTCCATTAGAAAGAATAACATCCTCAGGCCATACTCTTCATTTGTATCACAAAGAACATTTTGCTTTTAAACAAACTAATTATTGTATCTATTAGAGTAAGATAGGGTCATCCTAAGTATCACAGGGAGGAAATTCGCTTCCTTCAATATTTGAGCAATACCTTTTACAAGTCCACACCACCTCTCCCAACACCTAGTGCTGTGCCCCGGGCAGACTGGAAATTCCTTTCCTTTGTCCACTTCAGATTCAAAGGCCTATATTCCTGTTTGTGATCATGGAAGGTTAAAAATCAGACAAGCATCTGTTACACTTGAAACAAAATCCTGGAAAGAGACACTCCCAGCGATTTCCATTGCGACCCCTTCTCACGCACTTCCATGGGCTCCTGCAAAATAGTGTCACGAAAACTCACAGTGAAAAATGACTGGCGCATAAGCAATTCACACACAGAGGGCTGGGGTCCCTTCTAGTCAGTTTGGCATCTATTTCCCTCAAGGTGGACCCTTGCATTTGACATTTCATGGTGGCTTAGTTGTTGTTTTTTTTTTTTTTTTTTTTTTTTTTGGAAGTGTCAAGGATCAGTTCTGCGGCACCGTTTAACCACAGACTGGGAGCAACACGCATCTGTGGCATTTTAAAATGGAATTGGCGACTGCATGACATTGAAAATGCATATTACACTTACAGTGTCTAGACTTTCCTATGTGTGCTCAGATACAATTAGTGAAGCAAAAGTATACATATCACCCCTACTGTTATTCAGTTGCTACAGAGCCATAAATGTGAAAAGCAATACTCTGAAATAAAGATTTTTTGTTGTTTTGTTCTTTGCCCTAGCCCTACTTAGCAGCACAGTTTAAGTAAACACAAAAACTGTGTGGTTGAGATGCTTGTCTTTCCAAAGATGTAAACATCAGTCCCAGTGTCGTAAACTTTGCTGTATCGAACGAGACAGAAGATCTGAGGCAGAAGGACTATCACACACTAGTAACAGAAGCTTGCAAGCAGTTGGAAGGTTTCTGTAGTTTCTCAGCTTCATTTGTCGGGGGGTCCGTGCTTGCTCGGAAGTTGAAGGCTGGACCAGCTCCACCGTGGGCCGGGCTCAAAGCGGGGTTCTGACGACGGTTACTTTCAACAATGCTTGACGTGTTGGAAGCCAGGCTCTCCCGAGTACTAAAAGAGTAAAAAGGGTTTGTTTTGTTTGGAACATAAATAATTATAAGTTGAGCCCCAGAGGAAGAGCAAATGATGTCGTTAATGGATTTCCTCTGCTGGTTCATAATGTCATATCAATATACATCTCCACTGATTATCCACATCTGCCTCTCCACCACGGGCTCCAGAAGCTTCCACAGACATGTCATAATCAGCAGCACATTCAGTGAATAAAGGGTTTTTAAACAGCTAAATGCACTTTGAAACGTCTTCTTCTTTTCACACTCAAGGAACGACTTCAAAATTTGAGGTGATAGCTAGCTATCACAGTAGTTTTTAAAATGGATACTCATAAATACACCTAAGTCATTATTTCATTTCAGGCTGGAAATTCATTGGCATAACCACTCCAGAATACACTCGGTAATTTTACTCCAATGATTCCATTTTCATTATGGATTTGCAGATTTCAACTTTGGGGGACTCTGGGTATCTGCCGCACAGATAGGAATAAAATTCATTTTAAATGTTTTATTCCACTGTTTCCAATTTTAATGCTTTAGTTAAAGTACATTATATTTTTGATAAAGGACCTTAGATTTTCTTCCTCATTCATCTTTTAAGTTTTTATTCATTTCTACCCCACTTTGGCAGGATTGTTTTTGTTTTAGGGTTTTTTGGTTTTTGTTTTTTTTGGAGACAAGGTCTTGCTCTGTCCCCCAGTCTGGAGCGCAGTGGTGCGATCTCAGCTCACTGCAACCTCTGCCTCCCAGACTCAAGCGATCCTCCTACTTTAGTCTCCCGAGCAGCTGGGACCACAGATGTGTGCCACCACACCCGGCTAATTTTCGTGTTTTTAGGAGGGACCGGGTTTCGCCATGTTGCCCAGACTGGTCTCGAACTCCTGAGCATAAGCGATCCGCCTGCCATGGTCTCCCAAAATGTTGGGATTATAGGTGAAATATTTTCTTTTTAAAATAATTCTTGTAGGACACAGGTGATTTAAAAGCTTTATTATTTTTGCTTTCTCTTTTCCTTTTTCATTGATTTAAGAGATTTAGACTACGTAAGGTTTCAAATGCATAGGGCAATGGCAGAGATAAGATGACTGGGCCAGATTGAGAAGAACCGAGTAGGTTTCCTGTTGCAGGGCCTCAACGTGGCTATAGAAATGTATCAGCTACGGAGACTGCGCAAGCCAGAAGCATTCTCAAAACATCCACTCCATGAGGCAGAGTCAATGCTTAGGGAATAACCTCTGAGAGTTGGTCCTCACAACTGACTTAAGTCTGTTTAGAGCCAGTTAACAGGTCAAACTTCTACAGTAGAGATGTCCTCTCCTCTCCTGCATTTCCATCCCGAGCTGACAGCAACTCTGTCTGAATCTTCTACTCTGACAGCCCTTTCCAACAGGTTATTTAAGCCTAACTCCTTGTAGTTTGAGTTTGCTTCTCACCAAGAAGCCAAGGCAGTTTGTCCACTGACAACCAAATAAAAAACCCTGGGACTTTCCTGAATGCAGAGGGTACCTCCAGAAAGGTCACTCATTTACAGAGAGAAGTCAAGTTTTTGATTATGCTTATGGTAAATCTGGGTGTTCCGAAAGGACACTCCAAAATGTCATCGCTGAAAGGGAAGGTGCTAGACTTACCTACATGACATCTCTCCCAGGAAAATTCACAAGTGGTTTGCCAGAGCTACCACTGAGGCATGGGGCAGGCAGAGGAGGAGGGAGGGGCAGGGAAGACGCAAGACCCCGGAGATTTCAAGACACATTCCTTCAGTGTCTTTCTTAATCACTCGAGTACTTTTTTAAGTATCTGACTTCCTCAACTCTAAAATATGGAGAGTTATGATAGGATTTACCTACTCATAGGCTGACTCTGAAGAACAAATAACCATCAAGGAAGAATTTGTTCATTGATAAGGTAGGAACATGTGAATTATTTCTGTTATACATCTAGCATATAATGAAATAAACAGTGACTATGGGTTGGCTTCAGAATCCATGTATTACAAATGACATATTTTCTAGGGGAAAATACATTTAAAGTCCAAAGGATTCACTTTTTTTTTTTTTTTTTTTTTTTTTTTTGAGACGGAGTTTCGCTCTTGTTACCCAGGCTGGAGTGCAATGGTGCAATCTTGGCTCACTGCAACCTCCACCTCCTGGGTTCAGGCAATTCTCCTGCCTCAGCCTCCTGAGTAGCTGGAATCACAGGCACGCACCACCATGCCCAGCTGATTTTTTGTATTTTTAGTAGAGACGGGGTTTCACCATGTTGACCAGGATGGTCTCGATTTCTCGACCTCATCATCCACCTGTCTCGGCCTCCCAAAGTGCTGGGACTACAGGCTTGAGCCACGTGCCCAGCAGGATTCACTCTTAAACCAGCTTTCAAGGAGTGGGCTTAACATCTGTTGAGTGCCTGCTGTATGCCAGGCACTGTAAACACATATGCAGCAGATCATTGAGCTGGGGTCTGTCTCTACTGTAAGACAACTTCACCCAATCACAGCCACCTTCAATCCCAGTATTAATCGTGAGAAATATGTACTGTACTCCATCTTCTCCAAAGAATGTATTTCATTATTGTTGTAATAACGATTACAGTCTGTGACATTCATACTGAGAGCTCCGGATGTGCTGATGAACAAGTTAAAGGAGATGGAATGTTAACAGTAAAAATATTCCTCAAATTTAAAAGTTTTTTTTTTGAGGGAGCTAATGGAGTGCAACCTTAAAAATAGGATTTCAGGATTTTATAGGCAGGAGAAATGAACCAAGCAACTCTGCCGTTCACCCTTTGTGCACAGGTGCCCCTGGCCCCAGGCCTCTCCTGCACACGTTCACGCAATACATTAAACAGATACACCCCTGGCAGCCTTTAGCCTCTCATTTTCATATTGTGTTGATCAACCAGCTTTAGTTAGGCCTCACATTTGGATCAGTGGGCTTTTCATGTCAAGACTTTCCATTTTGAATATTAGATCTCATAGCATAGCTCAAGTTTCTACCCTTTTTCCTTCTAAATACCTTTTTATTCCCAACAGAAGAGACTAAAGAATTTTGGAAATGCGGCTGAACATGACTTCTGAGCCAGCGTTGAAACTCTGGAGAGTGGAGAAAAATCACCTTTTGGGGTCTTTTTTTTTTCTTCTTTTTGGTTGGGGCTTAGTGCTCAGTAAATTATTTACTGAAAGATTCTAATAAACAGCTTGCTGAAGATTTTCATGTCAGGGCTCAGCATGGTGGCTCATGCCTATAATCCTAGCACTTTGGGAGGCCAAAGCAGAAGGACCTACAAAAGACTTTTTTTTAAATTACCAGGCATGGTGTCACATGCCTGTAGTCCCAGCTACTCAGAAGGCTGAAGTGGGAGAACTGCTTGAGCCCAGGAGTTTCAGGCAACAGTGAGCTACAATCACTACTGCACTCCAGCCTGGGCAACAGAGTAAGACCCTCTCTCTAAAAAAAAAAAAAAAAAAAAAAAAAAAAAAAAAAAAAAAAAAATTTCCGTGTCTCACAGCAATGAGTATGAGCACGATAATGCTATCTGGCTAAAATACTCCTCAGGCTGGAGAGTAAAGTCTCTAGAAGTCAAATACTTACCTCTGCAGAACATACTCCTGGATCAGCAAGATAACTCAGTGACTTTATTAAGGTGTGTAGAAAATAGTTTGTCACCTCGCTTCTAATCAAAGGATGGTAAATACAAAAGGGGTAAAATTAGCAATTGTTCTGTAGATTCTCTAACTGCATAAAATGTATGGGCGATACATGTTTTCACATAGAGAAAATTTTACTTGATATTAGTGGGCAGACACGTGGCTATTGCGTGAAGGCTGTCTCTTTAGAATAACCTTTACCTTCGGCCATGACAAAGCATTTCACTTTAAGTACATAATGAAACAACTGAAAACCAACTTACTTCAAGAAATAATCCCAGTCATAAATTCTATGTTCTGGACCCTCAATTTTGAGATAGTAAAATATATTCTGTAGAGATACTGGTTCAACCATTTCATGAATATTTCTGTTTACCTTCAAACAAACAAAAACTTTCAATGTTACGCAGTTGAAGGTTTTCTAGTTAGAACTCACTGAACTACTCCCAATGTCTCCTTAGCAACTCTCTTCAGCATGGCAGCTTCCTGTCTGTGGAAGCCCAGGGGCCCAGAGGGAAAGGACAAAGGTTTAAAACGAGCATGTGAAAGGCAGGTAGGAGGCAGAGGCTACATAATGAGAAACAGCAGGACAGAAACACATAGCCAAATACACCACACCTTCCACCAGCGATGGTTCTGAATTTCCACCACAGATTACAGACCTTCTGTTTTGCTAATCTGATAACCACTACTAAAAACTCAAGAGGAAAAAAAGAGTAGAACAGGAAAACAAAGAATAAAAGGATAATTAGAATAAATTAGAAAATAAATTAATATCTGATTTGGGATTTAAAAAATTATTAAGCAAAAATGATTTCTTAGAAAAGTCCCTCAGTAGACTAGCGGTTTTCGGGCTGAGGCTCAGGGCTCCCTGAGGTCTCACAGGCTCCTTGAGGGATGGGAAGAGGGACCGGAATCCACAGTCTCCACTGTCACCAGGACCCACCTCTCAGCTCTGGGCAAACATTAGACTTCCATACACGTGTGTTAACTTGGAAGAAAGGCTCCATGATCAAAATAATAATAATAGCAATAATAATGAACCAGCCCTTTAATAAATCACAAAGGCCTAATATGGGACAGACCAATTAAGGATTCCCAGTTCCAGCTGTGTGATGCTCACTTCCAAAATTACCCAGAGATATAGTGAAATGATCACAACAGAATTAATTTTAATTACTAATCATGAAAATTAATATATGAAATGCATAATCCTATCTGAATATCTGTTAAAGTTATAAGTATTGTAAAATTTTGGGAATCGCAGCTGATGAGAAATGTCAATCTCTCAGTAGTATTTCTGCATCTCAGAGTCACCAATCTGGAGTAGAATGTAGAAGGAGAATTAGGTCCCATGCTGCTCTCTGAGGAGAAGAAAGAGTTAAGGAGAACAGAGGAAGTTGCACAGACCCTCGTTTGCCTTCTGAATCCCTGAGCAGCTCTAGAGTTTTGGCCGTGACCACTGGGCACCACTAACCCTCAACTGTCAACCCTTTGCTGAACTACGAACACCTACTAACAAGAAGGAACTACAGTTAGACTGGCCAGATGGGTTCCGGCGATTCTGCAGGAGGAGAAACAAAAGTCCTGGCCCATGCTTTCATCTAACAGAGCACAGGCCCCTGCCCTGGCTGTGAGGGAAGAAAGATTCCATTTTTCTGCAGTGAAAGGGAGGTGTGTGAGCCAGGGGAGCAGGCTGCATAGAACCCTGGGATCCAAATACAAGCCTCTAGATGCACTGGAGAGGTTTTGAGATCTGTTCTTATACTTTCACTAGAGGGACCCCCATCCTAGCATCAATCAATTTCCTTCCAACCCCTATCTGCCTCCCCCACCCCCAGACTATTCTTTCTACTCAAGATGTTACTACTTTTGAAGGACTTAAAAAACACCCTTCCCTTAGTGTGGTGGCAATGTGAACATAGCAGAAAAAACACTGGAAATGTTGGTTTTAGTTAGATCGAACTGATGCAAGTTTGAGGGGAGGAGCCAACCCACCAGTCCAGATTGGTGATCTCTACAGGTGCAGAAACTTTTTTTTCAATTCCTGTAAAAGAAGTCAGAAACAGATTGTTAACAATACAACTCAAACAACTCTCAAACCTCATCCACAGAACTGAGACTATGAAATCAGAAGCTTGTCAAGTTATGTGCATAAAGCCCCAGGCCCCGATAGGTGTATGTGTGTGCAAAGAGACACCTCTCCCTACCGTGGGGAGTTGAATCCACTGTCCACTGTGATGCTGCTGCTGTCCATGCTGTCAAGCCGGGCTGAATGGGTGGCTCTCTGGTTGCTGCTGCTGTCGGTCTCTTTTGGGGCAAGAAGGGTGAGGTTCTTTTCAAATTTCCTCTGCAAGTCTCTTTCCTTCTCCCTCTCGAGAAGCCACTGCATGGTGCCCACGTCCTCTCTATTTTTCTCCTCCTCAGTGTTCTTGTTTGCCCCTTCCTCAGAGTCATCATCATCAGAGACATTGTAATAGTCAAAAGAGGCTTCCTGGTTCCCTCCTGACTCCTGCTGACGTTGGGAAGCTGGCATGGCTTGTGCCACCGAGGTCCCCAGGGATGGTTCCAGTTTCTCGCATCGGCCTGGCAGTGTGTCAGCAGGTGTCTTCGGGTGAGATTTGAGGAGGGACAGGCTCGATTTGTGATAGCTGTTTACAGACAAGGTGCTGTGAAGAGGTTTGAACAGTGTGTCTTTGCTAAATATCTCTTTCCTCTTGTCCAAGCTGCTGGGCTCGGCACCATGGTGCTGGACAAGGCGTCCATTGGCGATCCCCTCAGCCGCTCCTCCTGAGGCAGCAGGGCCACCACCTGGCCCTTTGGGTGACTCCTCCTTGTGCCCTACAGGCTCCCTGGAGGAGTGGGGGACCTGCCTATCAGATGGGGAGAGCTTTTTCACCCCTTCTGCCAAAGTCAGAGTGTCATGGTCCTCCTTATTCTTTCCCAGAGGTGATGGCGCCGTGAGCACCGTCTCACTGGAGGTGTTGCACTGGAAATAGTCATCCGTGGAGGTTTTTGTTGGACAGGAGTTGAGTTCGCCATAGGATGGCAAAGTCTCGGGTGCTTTGCCTGGCTCCAAAAGGCTACAAGCACTGGACGGTTCCTTGCTGCCACCAACTATTTCTGGAATACACACCTCTTTATAGCTTGTGGACGAAATGTGAGCCCTTTGGTGACCAACAGTCTGTGCAGGCCTTAAAGTACTGTCGTCAATGTAGGATTGGCTGGGGGTCTGGTCATCTTGGCTACAGCCTTCAGCAAGGTCTTCAGGCGTCCCTAGAGAAGAAGCACCCAGAGGGCCTTTGGAGTTGTCCATCGACCTGGATCTCTCCTTGGCTTTGTTGGATCTCTCATTCCTGGACCTCCGGTCCTGGGTATGGCTGTGGCTTCGGTGCACTTTTGAGTGGGAGCTTCCCCTGGAAGGTTCAGGAAAAGGCATCTCAGTTCTCCTTTTGGCCAGTTCACCAGACACATCCCATTCTGGCGTCATGGGGAAGTGGGACTCGATCACGTTTGTGTTGCTATGCATGATGAAGTTATCTCCTGCGTGCTCCATGATGAAACAGCCCTCCCTGGGTACCCTGGTCAGAGGATCACAAAAGTCATACTCTCTTTCACCTGGGATATCCAGATGGGAGCCGTCGGAGGGGTCTCCTTTTGACACTCGTGTCTTGCTGTGAGACCGAGACTTTCCATGGGACTTACGATGAGTCCTGCTCTTTTTACTCCTTCCGCTGTGATGGGCAGAGGACCCGGCTTTACTCCTCTGGGCCTTTTCTTCTTCAAGCTTCTTCATGAGCGCCGTGTGCCGCATGACATTTTCCACGGTCAGGTCTGGGTTGATGCGCCTGATGATCTCCATTTCTACCTCCCGCGGGATCGTGGCTGGCGTGTCCTCGTCTCGCAGGGGCCACTCTTCGGGAGGAAACTGGGCAGAAAAATTGGCCAGCTGTTTGGTCTTGTCTTTTTTAAAACTTAGCCGGAATAACTTCAGCCCGAATTTTTTTGACTGCTTTTCACTATCTTTAGGTTTTGAGAGAGTTTCTGTCTTGTAGGAAAAATTTACAGTACTTTTGCTCTTTTCAGTGGGTGGCACCTGGCACAGAGAAGGGGGGCAGTAGGGGTCTTTGCAGTCCTTGGCAGGCTTCCTCTGCAGGGTGGACGCATGCATGCTGTGCATGTCTTCTCTGCAGCAGTGGCAAGACTCGCAGTGGTTTCGGGACAATGTTCTTTCCCTGACGCAGCCTGAGGCAGAGGGCGTGATGGTTCCGGGCTGCGGAGAGGTGCACTGGGACCGGTCGGGTATCCTCTCATCGAGATGGTACCATTTACTGTTAGTTCTTATGAGGGAAGGAGTTATGAAGTAAGTCTGTGGGGTCACGATAAAGTAGCCATCTGGAGTTGGGTAGATTTTCCTCTCCCGAACCAGCGTGTTTAGCGTGTGCCGCAGAATTTCTTGGCTTGGGGTTGGAACACCTGAAAAAAAAAAAAAAATCCACTTGTGAGAATAAAGAGAGAACATGTCAATTCCTGACTTCCAGAAGCCTATTCATTCTGCCAAGATGCGAAGTCCCATCGCATGGCTAGGATGGACAATTCAGACAAAGGCGTTCCTTAAGTTCGGTGCAAATCCTGGTTTGCTTGGGTAAGTCCTAAATTACCACCCACGGAATGAGCAGATATAAAAGCTGGGAAGACAGAGGTGGAAGTAGGTGAAGTTAGATTGCTGCTGTTGTCATAAAGCCTTTCCCGAACTAAACAGGAAAGATAGAATATTTAAATGAGAGAAAAAGGAAAAATGTTTTCCATGATATATATATGATACAAATGTACAGAAAAGGCTTTAGAGTGAAAATATCTGCCTCGATATTAAAAACACATCTAAAATATTTGGAGGCCACCACAGAAGGGTTACTGTATGTGCTCATTTTCACAGATTTTACTTAATAAACTTAATTTTGTAAATTACATAAAAGGACTAGGAGACTTGGCTACTGCCTAGGATGAACCCTCTAATTCCAGAGTCACTACCTTCCATTTTGAAACCAACTAGAGCACGGGTAACATCCAAGTGACAATGTCCTTTTTGGTGTCAGTCAGCAACATGAAGGTGGTTTTTCTAATTTCTAACCAAAGAACCCTAATAAATACACGAGTGAAGGCTCTGACACTCTATCTCTGTTTGTCCAAAACTCCCATATTGGCTTGGATAGAAACACTAGATAAAAATGATGAAAGCTTCCTTATATGAATGATCCTTGTTTTCTGAGGGTTTTTGTGCATGTTTATGCAGAATTAAGAGTACAAATTCTTAAGAGAGTTTAACCTCTCCAGGCTCCAGCCCATTTACTTTATTTCTTGGGTATTCTCCATTTCCCAGTGCCAGGCACATAAAAGATGATTGTACTTCTAAGATTGATCTGAATGATATCATTTGGAATTCTGTCAGGTTGAATCATATGAAACTGCTAATATTTAACCATCTGACTCACAGACATGGCAGTTTCATGCAGTTCAACCTAACAGGAATAATGTGTAATGTGGAGACTAAAGGCTGGGGCCAGGCTGCTGGGTTGAAACCCTGCCCTATCATCATTAGCTGGTGTCACTGGTTGAATTATACACTCCCCACCCCAATTTGTATGTTGAAATCCTAACCCCTAGTACCCGTCTTAAATATGACCTTATGTGGAGAAGAGGTCTTTAGAGTGAAATGAGGTCTTGAGGGCGGTCTCTAATCTAATATGACTGATGTCCTTCTAAAAAGGGGAATGCTGGAGACAGAAAGGCACAGAGGGAAGACAGTGTGAGGAGACACAGAGAAGGTGCCATCGTAAGCCAAGGATGGGGCCTCACAGCTCTCAGGACAACCAGTCCTGCTGACACCTTGATTCTGGACTTCTGGCCCCCAGAACTGCAGGATACACGTTGGTTGTTTGAGCCATCTGCACTTTGTTACAGCCACCCCCAGCAAACGAAGATAGCTGGCACTACCTGAGGGCACTGAGCCTCTCTGAGTCTCTGTTTACTGTCGTCAAAAGGTAGGTAACAACAGTACCTGTAGCCACAGGGCTGAGGTGAAAGGAGTTTAGTGTGTGTGGAGCAGTGCCTGGCACACAAAAAGTGCTCAATAAATAGCAGCTGGGAGTTAGCCTCCACTTTGGGTCGGGACCCAGAAAACCAGATTGCCTTCAAAGAACAATGTGCCACAACCTAGAACACCTGGGTGAGCTAAGACGTTTCAACTCCCCAAGTCCTTCCAAAGTAGGAAATAAAGGTATTAGAAATGGCCTACAGTGCTTTGGGAGGCCTCAGAAAGGCTGATCTCAAGGGCAGGAGTTTCAGACCAGCCTGGCCAGCATGGTGAAACCCATCTCTACTAAAAATACAAAAAATTAGCGGGGCATGGTGGCATGCGCCTATAATCCCAGCTACTCGGGAGGCTGAGGCAGGAGAATCACTTGAACCAGAGAGGTAGAGGTTGCAGTAGCCAAGACCATACCACTGCACTCCAGCCTGGCGACAGAGTGAGACTCCATCTTAAAAAAAGAAAGAGAGAGAGAGAGAGAGAGAGAGAGAGAGAGAGAGAGAGAGAGAGAGAGAGAAAAGAAAGAAAGAAAGAGAGAGAGAGAAAAAGAAAGAAGAAAGAAAGAGAGAGGAAGGAAGGGAGGGGAGGGAGGGAGGAAGGAAGAAAGGAAGGAAGGAAGTTAGGAAGGGAGCCTGGAATCTTTAAGGGGGAAAAATCCATGAATGTAAGGTAACATACACACACATTTGCGTTACCATTTTCAGAAGGCATCCTTAGTGATAAAAGCAGAAAAGGTAGCTTAGTTCATAATGTATTGTTTAATATAATTATTTAATTTTTGAGTCTCATGGTTTCTTTTTAGTCTAATGTTTTACTTTTGGTAAGAGAACATTAGTTTTTATACAAATGATTTTAAGACCAATAATAACAAAATTTGTTTTTTAATTTTATAACACTTTCTGTACAAAATAGAAATGAATATCTTTTTTTTTCTTTTTTCTTTTCTTTTTTTTTTTTTTTTTTTTTTTTTTTTTTTTTGAGACAGGGTCTCACCCTTGCACAGTCTGGCGCACAGTGACAAAATCTCAGCTCACTGCAGCCTTGACTTCCCCAGGCTCAGGTGATCCTCCCACCTCAGCCTCTCGAGTAGCTGGGACTACAGGCATGCACCACCACACCTGGCTAATTTTTAGATTTTTTAGAGAGGCAGGATTTCTCCATGTTGCCCAGGCTGATCTCGAACTCTTGGGCTCAAGCGATCTTCCTGCCTCCCCGACCAAAGTGCTTCCATGAATAACTTTGGGGGACACCATTCACATGGAACCCCCCCTTCTGAGATGAGGACACACCCCTGCTCTGCAGTCTCATGAATGATGGCTGAGGTCGTGTGGCACAACCACCAAGATAACAAGCCCGTGTTGAAAACCAACCACATCTTAAATGGTAGCATACTTTTAGTCAACAATGTGACAAACTTTTTCAAAGACTCGTAAGGTTCATTTATAAGTACTCATGACTGACCAGTTTACCATGGCTCCTGATAAGGGGAAGCCGAAGTATACTTCATGAAAATAGCTATTACTGTAAAGCAAAAATATAATTTTAGTGTAGAATTTGCTAAGTGTAGGCCTTCCAAATGGTGATCTTAGGAAACTCAGAAAGCGATTAATATATAAAATCATGACTACAATGCAATCATCTTTACTTACCATTAAAAACAAGTTCTCCAGTGGTTCTCAGACGAAGGAATAAAAAGAAAAATATAGAGAAAAAAGTTCTCTACTTCCATAGAGAATTTGTACTTAAATTTTCTTACGTCTTGGGTTTCCAGGTATATCGATCAGATAACGTTTAATTTGATATTGCAAACTAGAAACATTCTTTGTCCCGTCCAATCCATTTTCGATGCTATCTGAGAGTTTTCAGACTTCAGTGAACGTTGCTTATGTTTATGATTATATTTTATTATTAAGCCCTAGTATATTGACCGATTGACTGTCAATGAAATTCAGGGCTCTACCAGAAATCTGCAGGGTTGACCTGAGAAAGTGATGGTTGTGAGGGATGTTAATGGTTGTAAATTCCACTGCTCCCAAATTCAACTCTTGAAGTTCATCACGAATTCAGATTTTGCGGCTTAAAGAACAAAAATAAACTTGACATCCTAACAGGGCTGAACCTGACCTCTTCCACACCTTTACATTTTCCAAAGCAAAAATAACTATTTAAAAGTACTGCACGGCAATGTGATCTACTTAGACCTATGTATTGCTTTTTTTTTTTTTTTTTTTGACATAGCATCTCACTCTGTCATCCAAGCTGGAGTGCAGTGGTGCAATCTCAACTCACTGCAACCTCTGCCTCCTAAATTCAAGCAATTATCATATCTCAGCCACCTGAGTAGCTGGGATTACAAGTGCATGCCACCACGCCCAGCTAATTTTTGTACTTTTTAGTAGAGATGGGGTTTTGCCATGTTGGCCATGCTGGTCTTGAACTCCTGGCCTCAAGTGATCTGCCCACCTCAGTCTCCCAAAGTGCTGAGATTACAGGTGTGAGCCACCGCAATCAGCCTCGATGTATTGCTTTAGTCCTGTAAATCTGACAAAACTTTCTGAACAGAGAGCACGAGGACCTGTTCAAAGCACTTCAGGCGGAAACCTTTTAATGACCATCTTTAGACTATGCTTGTTTGTGAAGAACACTGGCTGAGGAACAATTCAGTAAGAGCCGACATAAGGAGGTAAACGGGAGACATAAGACAGCGTGTACAATATTAACATTCTCCAGCAATCTCTGAAGTCAAGTTCAGCTACACACCTAGCCTTACAGGTCTAGCCCTATGTCCCTGAAGGGCAGCCTTCCTCCCACAAAGATTCAGTTGCACTAGCTTAACAGGTACCAGACCAATTCAAATGACTACTCAGTCTGGATGAATGGACATGTGGTTATTTAGAAATATGAGAAGCAAGTGTTATTCTTTATAAACCTTTTAAAAATATTCTCGATTCTGTAATGGAAACTGACAGATAAAAGTTGTTGAGTTGGTTTTCAAAAATTCAGCCAACTTTTTTTTCACTTTTATAGAAAAATGATAAAAAGGTTTAAGTTTTGATGTATCAAATTTTTACTAGAAGATTTTTCACTAAAAACCTTCTTTAGAATATGGAGGCCCAAAACAAGAAAAGAAGCCAACTTGTAGATTATACTGATCTAAAATTAAATGAGAACTCAAATATTTTAATAATAGTTAGGCTCAAAAACTTTATTATTGAAGAGTAAGATATAAAATAACTAGCTAGGTGCAGTGGCTCACGCCTGTAATCCGACCACTTTGGGAGACCAAGGCAGGCAAATCACCCGAGGTCAGGAGTTGGAGACCAGCCTGGCCAACATGGTAGGACTCCACCTCCACTAAAAATACAAAACTTAGTCAGGCATGGTAGTGTGCGCCTGTAATCCCAACTACTCAGGAGGCGGAGGCAGGAGAATCACTTGAACCTGGGAGGCAGAGGTTGTAGTGAGTTGAGATCGTGCCACTGTACTCCAGCCTGGGCAAGAGAGCAAGACTCCATCTCAAAAAAAAAAAAAAAAAAAAAAAAAAAAAAAGACTAAATAAATAAATAAATAAATAAATAAAATAATTAAATACTTTTTTCTTAACTTAAAAAAATATGTATATAAGATCTTTAAACCCTCCAGAATCTTAGAATTGTCATTAAAAATATGATTTTCAAATAGAATTTAAAAGGTTAGGTTTTCTTTTTTTTTCTTTTTTTTTTTTTGAGACAGTTTCGCTCTTGTTACCCAGGCTGGAGTGCAATTGTGCGATCTCGGCTCACCGCAACCTCCGCCTCCTGGGTTCAGGCAATTCTCCTGCCTCAGCCTCCTGAGTAGCTGGGATTACAGGCACGCGCCACCATGCCCAGCTAATTTTTTGTATTTTTAGTATAGACGGGGTTTCACCATGTTGACCAGGATGGTCTCAATCTCTTGACCTTGTGATCCGCCCGCTTCAGCCTCCCAAAGTGCTGGGATTACAGGCTTGAGCCACCGCGCCCGGCAAGGGTTAGGTTTTCTAAAATATTTTCTTCTGCTGTAGCTTACATGATAGCAAAAGACAGACAGAAACCAAAGGAAGGAAGGAAAGGAAAAGAGAGGACGCTAAGAAGAAAGGAAAGACAGCAGGCAGGCAGGAAGAAAACTCATTTTTAATGAAATACCTGTTTAAAATCTGGAGCCACTGCTGAACATAACTTTATAAATAGTTACCACCATGCCCTAGCCCAGGGGTTGGCAGACTTTTTCTGCAAAGAACCAGAAAGTAAATATTTTAGGCTTTTAGCCATACAACCTCCATTGAGACTACTCAACTCTGCCACTATCGCATAAGGAGCCAAAGATCATCCATGAGCAAATGGGCATGGCTGTGTTCCAATAAAACTTTATTTAACAAAAACATGTGGTGGGCCACACTAGGCCTGCGGGTTAGCAAACTCCTGCGCTAGACTCGGGTTTGTATGGTGTCCTTGCAAACTTCTGAGGTCGACCAATGAGTCATCAGTGTCACACAGAAGAAAAAGCTCCTCAGTCTCTCTGAAAACCAGGGTCTCAGGATTTAACTTCCCTTCCCATAAAAGCTAGCAAAACAGTTATTCTTTTAAGTACAAATGACCTATGGATTACTCCACAAAGTATTCCAACTTAGTGATATTGTTATCAGCTGCTTGGCAGTGAGGCGCATTTTACTGTTATATACCAGCTCTATGTTCTTTCCGTTCTTTATTTTATAGCCCAGTAATGGGAGGTATGTAACCAATTTCGGAAAAGCCATGTGATTTCTCATGAAGCTATATAAAAATTTAAGGATTTAAAAAGCTGCTGGGTTGTTTGATGTCAGAAGTGGCTATGCACTCGTAGGGCAGAAAGAAGGCCCTTTCTTAAAGACCACGGTGTTTGCCAGCACATCCGTCCCACCCCACCCCACCCGACCCCGCTTAGGTGGCTCTCACCTGGGGTTCTGCTTCTCCCACTACTGAAAGAAAGGGGGATTGTCTGACACTTAACAAAAACAGATAGGCAGTCACATACTGAAGAACAGTCAGAGATAAGACAATGCTAGAAAAATTAAAATAATTTGTATGTTGCAAGGGTGAGTTCGTGTTGGAGATTTTGAACCATACACAAAACACCAAAATATATTAATTAGAATACTGAAAAAGGAGGAACTATCACAAGAAGAGGGAGAAAACGTTTCTTTGGGGCAAAAGGAAAAGCAGGGAGAGCAATACGGTAGACTAGACCTCTACTTAGCTTAGAATTAGTCCTCTCGTTCTCTTCCCATGCGTGGGGTGCACTTCCCCACACCATGACTTTGTTTAGCAGGTTTGCTTTGGGCAATGCAATGTTAGTGGGGCGCCCATGATCAAAGCTTGAAGAGCCTTTTACGCAATGGGCTTGCGCTCTGCTGCCTCTGCCATCATGAGTGAAAGTGATCTCCATTCGCCCCCTTTTCTAAATCGTATGGGTACAGGTGGAGCAGAACCACCCTGCTGGGCCCTGCCTGGATCAGCTGACTCCTGGGGAACCCACAGAGGCATGAGTGAAATCAACGTGAAATCAACGTTGGTTGCTGTAGGCCTTTGATGTTCTGTAGTTGTTTGTTACCTGACATTTCTGTAGCAAAAGCTGATACAATGAGCAGTTTCTATTTACTAAAATCTCTTGTACATTGGATGACAAAGACATCAAACGTTCCCTTTTAATATAATCTCTATTTCCATCTAGGAACAGGCTGAGTCCACACCAAGCCGGCAAACTGGTAGCCTGATAATGTACTTCATGTGACTTGCATGTTGCTGGCACACAAATTTTATAATGTGCACACACACACACACACACACACACACCTGTCAATATTTAAGGAAAGGTAGAGATTTCCCATAAAACCCAATTTCCAGATTCTCTTGAAACATGAGATTGGCAGCTCTGGCAGGACCTCCATTTGGGGGCAGGGTGATAATTACACGGGCTCTCTTGAAAGGGTCCTGCGTTCCGCAGCTTGTCACCCTTCCTAACACCTTCCAGCACTGAAAGCATCAAATGCCACTCACACAGCAGCTGGGCTGTTGCCTCCTTTTTATAATATTTAAGAGAAAAGTTTAAGTATTTTATTTTTTAAAACAAAATCTTAACTAATTTTTCAAATATTATTTTCTTGAAACTTGTCAAGCCATGACACTCATATGTAAGATACGTTAATTTTTGACATGACCCTTTCCGTAGTTTCATTCCTTAGGACTAAAATTTTCAGTTGTTGGACCCTCACGTTCACGTATTTAAAGATTAGGTTGCAAAGACTGATGGGAGTCTTGGTCATTTTTGCCAGATTCTTCATGGATTCTAAATTAATTTCTCCCTCTCAGTGCCAATTTAAAAAGCATGACAGCTGAAGCAGTTATTTTTGATGTCATACAGGAGTCTGAATTTTTAATTACAGAGGTAAGGAAAGTTTCTGGTCAGTTTTGGGGAATGCTTTTTTCCTATTATCTTTAAACATGGGAAGAATAGTCCATGTGAGGCCCTAGGGTGACCAGAGCATACCGCCACCTGGAAAATGCTACGTTCCCGCTTTGTTACCTGGGAAACACGTGGTCAGGTGCTCCATCAGTGCTTCTTGGGTGACAGGTTTTCTTGCCGAGTTCATTGCTGAGATGGCCAAGCAGAGGATTTCCCCGAGTGGAATAAACTGAGACTGACTGATGGGAGACATACTGATTGGTGATACATCACCTGCAGAAAGACAATTTTCAAGTGAGTAGTTCATTGAAAGACCCAGTCATCTGTCAGACACACACTTTCATGCATCCACACCCCTCCCACCTTCACACATCCACCCAGCCCTGGTCTGATGAACACAGTTAGCTCTGAACACAGAAGCTGCTTACCATTTCCACTCAGGTGGAAAGACTTCCATATGCAGTGGAAGCTCCTACTGCCTCAACAAATAAAACTAACATCTGAGATCTCATTGACATAGTCCGAGAACTGAAAGTCTTGCAACAACAGGCTTTTATTTCTGGTTTTATTAACTTGGAGCTGATTTATTTAATGACCGCCATTCATATCTCAACAAATTGCATTTGTGTAACTTGATTCATTCATTCAAACATTGAATGCCTTTACGCGTCTGCTGGGGGAATGGGAGCTGCAGGCAGAGTGAGTGTGCGCTTCTTCCCAGATATCTCTGCCCTCAGTTTCTGTTTAAGTGGAGGAGACAGAAAAGTAGATCAAAGTCCCAGTGTTGTGTGGCAGGCACACAAGAGAACAGGACACCTGAGAGCTGAGAGGAGAGGGAGGATACCACCACCTGGAGGTGAGGGTGGGACCCAGAAGCAGGAAGTTCCAAGGTTTCACCAGGGAGCTGTAATCTGAACACAGTGCTCAAGAGCAGGTGTGTCCCTGGGGGGGCTAGGACCTATAAACAGATGTTTTCTGGGGCATAGGAGAGAAGGGAGATAGGTAGGTGGGGATGACCATGCACAGAGCTGGGTGTGCAAGCTCTGTGTTCTATTAGGGATGGTGAGCCATGGAAGGTCAAAGGCAGGTGTGAATTTCGGAAAGATGACTGTGGTGGCCATGGGGATGATGGCCTGGGAGGAGCAGGAGAAGGCACATTACAATTCTCTCCGAGACTGTGGCCTCCTGCACACTAAAAGGGCCAATGGAGGCAGGAGAGGCTGAAGACCCAGCATCACAGGGGAGGTGAACGGTGACTACTGAGATGTCAACCTACAATGCAAATATCTGTCTTCATGTCTCGTCTTTACGCCACAGTGCTGTGATTCTCAAGTTATGCTGCAAGGATCCCTGGAATATTTCTGGAACAGAGGTGCCCCAGTAGAAGCAGAGGCTGGGAGAGCAGGAAAGTCAGCTCCTGACACCTGAGTGCCACCTGTTTTACACTTGGGGTCCTCCAAGATTTCACTTGAAAAGATGTCCTACAGAAAGAGGAGTGAAGTGTCGCCGCAGTAGAACACAGAAGGGCTCACAGAAAGGTCCATTAGGTTTCGAATCTGATTTCCCAAATGTATTACATAATCTCTCCTTTTTCTGTTTCTGAAGCATGCTTGCAATAAGCTCCCATGGCTGATGGAAACCGACGCTCTGGCATTAAGCAACACCCTCTCCAAGAAGGTGTTGGCTGCTCTGGGGTGGACCAGCCTCCTCACGGCCAGGCACCTACAGCCGTGCCAGCCACAGTTCCTAGTCTGCAGAGGAGTGCAGAGTCCCTATGGGAAAAACTTGCTGCTTTGATGGACTAGATGGGAAATGGTTTGGCAGCTGAAATCAGGCAGTGGGGCCTGGGAAGAAGGTCAGCATATGTGGGATAGTCCAGCAGGCGCCTCCGACAAAGCGGCAGGACTCCAGAGCCCCAGGCCCAGGCCTCCCCCCTTCCCACACCCAGCTCAGTTCAATGCCCCCCTTTCCCTGGATCACATGGGGCTCCACTCAGCGCCACTGTGGCTCCACTCTCTGCAAAATGCATATGAGAAGGGTAAGACATTATCCCAGTTGCCAGAGGGAGTAGGTACAGGAGTACCTACATCCAGAAAAGAAAGAAGGGAAAAATCAGCAGAAGCCACGAACTGACCTAACTTAGAAGCCACAAATTTCCGGGGCCTATGGGTCATAGGCATCATAGAGATGCCCTGGCGGACACCAGTACTCCAAGATGGCATTAGTCTTACCATTGAAGGACAGGAAACTTCTGGAGGTCAAACTAGGAGAGCTGCCGAGCTGGATCTTGATGTGGGACTTCAGCCCTAGTGGCATTGTCGGAGCATTTCGAAGAAGTTACTACCGGTACTATAACAAATATATCAACGTGAAGAAGGGGAGCATCGCCGGGCTTACCACGGTGCTGGCATGCTGCATGGTCTTCAACTACACCATTTCCTACAAGGAGCTCAAGCACGAGCGGCTACACAAGTACCACTGAAGACAAGCTCTGCACTCCCGTCCGTGACCTTCTTGGCTTGAGCCCCTCCATAAGGAACACAGTCTCGCTTATTGCTGAATTGTTTCATATCCTAATGGAATTAACCTCCAAATAAAAGATGACTGGTTAAAAAAAAAAAAAAAAAAAAGAGATGCCCTTGGAAAAATTCTTATCAAAGCTATTTGTTTGTTTGAGACAGGTCTGGCTCTATGGCTCAGGCTGGAGTGAAGTGGCACAATCATAGCTCACTGCAACCTTAAACTCAAGAGATCCTCCTGCCTAAGCCTTCCAAGTAGCTAGGACCACAGTCTGGCCACCTCCTACAGCATTTGGATGACAGGCCACCACGCCCAGCCCAAACGAAGTCTTTATTCTAAAACCTAATGTGGGTCGGGCCAAGTGGCTCACATCTATAATCCTAACACTTACGGAGGCCAAGGTGGGCAGACTGTTTGAGCCCAGGAGTTTGAGACTAGCCTGGGCAACATGACAAGACACCGTCTCTACAAAAAATACAAAACTTAGCCGGGCATGGTGGCATGTGCCTGTGGTCCCAGCTACTTGGGAGGCTGATGTGGGAAGATTGCTTGAGCCTGGGAGGTTGAGGCCATAGTGAGCTGAGATTGTGCCATGGCACTTCAGCCTGGGGCAGAAGCCACAGAGTGAGACCCTGCCTGTCAATCAGTAAATATATAAGAAACATGTAAAGACTGGCTGAGTGCTGGCGGCCAGCTGCAGCAGAGGTGGGAGTTGGGAACTCCACCCACCTCCCAGCGGGCCCTACAGCTCAGCCATATATAGTCTGAGACACTGTCCTGTGATTCCTTATCTCACTCCACCTCCACTGTATAGGACAGGGCTACTGAGGCCAGCTTTCTCACAGAGTTGTAAGGTCAGCCATGTGGACCTGAAAGTCACCTGGGATGATTTTAAAAGTCAAATGAAAAGGAAGATGAAATCACGTGGGAAAGAGAGAGAGGGTCCATGCAGATTCCAGTGCCTCTGGGCTTGGGTATCACTCGGGAGGTTAACTCACTCAAACATGTGCCTATTATAACTAAGAGCATCTCAGAAGATGAAAGATACAAAAATACTAAATATGAGCCCCCAAATGCAGGCCACACTGTTTCTGGACTTTGTAGAGGTGATAAGAGGAAACTTGTTCCCCGCTCCACTTTAGGTCAGGCTTTCCTTGCGGATTTAGGTGAAACAATTTGTTTAGTTTCACTGCCCTGTTCTCAGTTAATTGCTTTTCATTCATTGCGGCCGACTCCAAGAGGCAGCATGCTCTGAGTAACTGCCTGAATGGCATTTGCTTTGGAAAAGCTCAGTTTCACCATAATAATGAATATGGGCAATACGTTTTAACTCACAATATAGAACAAAATAGAATTTGGATGTTCTAAATATCTCCACCTCATCTCATTTTTGTACTGCACTGAGGTCAATTACTTTCAACTCCTTTCCCACCCCAAGCCCATCAGCAATCCTGTCTACACCCAAATATTTCCTGGTTTGTTCCCTCGATTCCATCCCTAGAACTCTCCTAAACCGCCGTCATCTCTCACCTGATCCATCAGAATGACCGGACGATGTTCAGCCTTCCCTCCTGTCTCCACCACTCCCCTCTCCACAGAGCAGCCAAGGTTATCTTAGGGAAACAGAAAACACACTGCTTCCTGCATAAAATCCTCCAGGGTCTGCCTGCCGCCCCAAGAAGCAAACCTGAGCTCCTCGGTGGGTCTATAAGAGCCCACGTGGGCTGAGCCTGTCCACCCAACGCGAGGACCACACTCCCTACCCCCATCCTTACTTTCCACTCACAACCTCCTCTGCTCTCTGAACAGGCCAGGCATTTCCTCAACTCAGGGTCTTTGTATTTTTTGTTCCCTTGGCCTGGGATATTCCTGGGGTCGACCTTTCAAGACTGACTTTTCATCCTTTAGGTCTCAATTCAAATGGCACCTCATCAGAAAGCCCTCACCTGACCTTCTGGTCTGCTGCCATTCCAACATAGCCGAGTTTACTGCCTTCTCTCCCTGCACTGGGTTTGGCTCACTGGCTTACTGTCTGTCTCACACACTCAAATGTAAGCTCCATGACAGAAGGCGACGTGAATGCCACATTCCCAGCACCTAGAATGACGCGGTGCTGACCCAACAAGTATTTGTAGAATGAATGAATATCCATTTTTAACATCAGAATCCAAGGAATTTCTTAATAATCTTAAATAATTGTAATTTTGTTAATATTTTTGCTAAATAATTGCAAACAAACAAAGAGACCAAATAAGTTTGGCCGTGCAATTTCTAAGACTCCCCCAAATCAACTGCATGAGTGACATTCCTCCAAACACAGCACTTACTATCAAAAAATAACTTTATAATACAAATATTATATAGCAATAACAAATTAATAAAAATGAGTAAGTTTTCTGAAAGAATAATTATGTATTAAGTGAAGTTTAGAACATGCACTTAAGATCTGTATTGAAAGAATCACAGGTATCTCTCAACACAACATAAACATTATTCAGGTTTACCATAATCTTCTGTGGATCCTATATAAAGCTGCTTAAAAAGCCAACTACTCATCGTTAAGATATGGTACTAGAAAATTCTTCCGGCTGGGCATGGTGGCTCACGCCTATAATCCCAGCGCTTTGGGAGGCCGAGGCAGGTGGATCACCTGAGGTCGGGAGTTCAAGACTAGCCTGACCAACATGGAGAAATCCCGTCTCTACCAAAAAAATACAAAATTAGCCAGGCGTGGTGGCACATGCCTGTAATCCCAGCTATTCAAGAGGCTGAGGCAGGAGAATCGTTTGAACCTGGGAGGCGGAGGTTGCAGTGAGCCGAGATCATGCCATTGTACTCCAGCCTGGCAACAAGAGTGAAACTTTGTCTCAAAAAAAAAAAAGAAAAGAAAGAAAGAAAGAAAGAAAGAAAGAAGAGAAAATTCTTCCAACTACTGGACCACATTTATTTCTTCAAAGAAGAAAAAAGAGAATGTGAGTACTGCTAAAATATTATTGGTCACGATAATCTACATAATCTACAGAAACTACCATATTTTGCATGAAGTATGAATTATAACTTACTCGTCTATAATTTATAGGATGGATGTTTCTATCATCAGGATTAGTTCAGAACACGTTCATCTTAAAGCTCATTGGCACTTCGTCAGCTAAAAGATTCTTTCTAAAGTACTACAATTCTATCCTCTTGCTCTAAATAAGAAGGAGTAGATAGGTTTTATTTCAGCTTTATTTTCTTACAAACATCCAGTTAAGTACAGTCCTCAGAGGACTTTTGTCAAATCTAGGCTAATTCAGATAAAACCAAACTCAGTGCTTGGGACAGAGGAAGCATTCCATAGATTTTTAAGTGAACTTAAAATGCGAAAAGACACGCAAATATTACAACTGGAAGTGAACTTCTGTTTTCAGAGCATTTACATTTAAAATGCATGAGTGAAAATGTGAACACTGCTTTCCTGTGAAGTCATTGTCAGCTGACTGGCACGAAGAAAAAGAGGAGCCAGGTGGATGATGAGGGGCGTGGAAGATGGACCCCTCCAGGAGAGACAGAACAGGCCAGGCAGCGTGGGGGGCAGCTGGAGCCCCGGGAGCCCCGGGAGCTGAGCCTGGGGAGCTGAGCAGGTCCAGTCTCTCCTGGGGCAGGCTGGTGGTGAGATCCAGAGAACAGGAGGGGCCAGATCCTGGTTGACAAGAAGGCTTAGATCTTATTCTTGATGCTGATGGGGCACTGCCCGTGTTTTCATACAGACAAGTCACACGATATGCTTGTGTGAGAAAAATCACTCTTGTGCAACTCTGGAGAAAGAACTGCTGACTATTAAAATCGCTCACACAACAGACAGCAGGCAGAGGTGGTGCAGACGCCACCCTGCTCTCCAATTGCCTACAGCGAGTCACTCCCACCTCAGGAAACGGCCGTACCAAGTGCATCCATTTTCACTGTTTAAATCCGTCCATCTACGTTTCCCTTTCACTTCTTGGTCAGTTACTTTAGTTGGCGTTATTTCGAATTAATTAATTAATTAATTAATTAATAAACAAAAAACTCTCTCACACAGAATTCATCCTTTCAAGAAATATCTGACTGCCTATTATATGTCAAATACCTTTAAGCACTCAAGTTCCAAAACTGTTCTTATCTCAGTTCTATTTGTGCAGGAAAAAAAAAAAATATATATATATATATGCCTATAAGAAAGCCTTGTCCTTTGTAAATGCCATTTTCACTTTTTACAGTTGTTAATCCAGGTTCTCGGAATTCCTCAGCCTGTCCACATGCAGGAGGACAGCACAGCTCCAGGGATGTGACTTTCACGCCAGCATACACTCGCTCCTTCCTGGATGACACCCATAGCTTTACAAAAGATTCCTACTACAGAAGCCAACATAAAATGGTTTCATTTTGTCTTATAGCACCCAGCCTCATACACCTGTTTAAGTAAAGGAAAGCCAGAATCTTCCCAGGCGAATTTCCTCACAATATGCAGCCTTGAAAGTGCCAGCCTCCATCCTCTATTTTAACTTTCTTTCAATCATTTTTTCCAACAACAACATACCATGTGAATGATGCTGTTTGCCTTTTAAGATACAATGTTTCAGTGCAAATGTTAATGTAATCTATTCTCTGGGTCGAACTGTTATCTTTGACATTACTGAAGTTCTTGTACGAAAACAACCCACTTACGAATGTGGTTCTGAAACTGTACTAGTTTATAATTGGGAAATTCCCAATACAAAAAAGCATTCAAGAGATATTTTGATAAAAGCATTCAAGAGATATTTTGATAAGTACCCAGTCTCTTAAAACAAGATACAATTATCTGCTCTGCGCCTGTTTCCTCATCTGTAAAATGAGGGTTTGGATGAAACGATTTCAAAGATTCCTTCAGGCTCCTAAATCCTATGATCCTGTATCAATGCAGCAGAATTTTGGCATAAAAGCATCATATAGCATGGGTGTCTAGCTCTATTTCCATCATGCTGAGGAAACTATTTTAA